AGTTAATAATCTATTTGTGTTTCTATTTTCTGCATCAAGTTTAGTTTCTTTTCCTTAGCTATCTTGTGTGACGACTCTAAACAATTTGAGATGCCAAATAAATCGTTGTAATGACTTTGTTATCACCATGAATTTTTCATATTATGCAACGTTAGGGTTACTTTTAATACTATATTTTAATAGATTGTTCCAATTTGATTAATCCTGTTATTTTTGTTTTAGTGTTTATCGTCTAATCATTTTATTTTTTTTAACTTGTGTTTATAAACCGATGATCAACCACATACATATCGGTTAAATAATTACATCCCTTTATAACATGAATATCATGGATATTATGACTGCTGCTAGTTATAAGCCGACGAGAAAGGAATTCTAATACATATCAAAACTTACGGCAGCACAAATAGTTATAGGGTTAAAATACTTTATATACACTTAAAAATATAGTATCCTATTTAAATTAAAATAGGGTTTTAAAACCTTTCGGACTATAAAATAAAATAAAAAAAATATGAGATTAGTAAAGTTATTTAATAAATAAAAATAACTTTTTTTTTATAAAATATAATATATAAAATCATAAAATATCCGGGTATTAAGTGTATGACACCATGAAATCTAACACTAAATGATCTTTTCAATAGCTAAAAAGTTATCATTGCTAAATTATCCATTGTGTTTATAACTAATTTAATGAATCAGCTTCTCTGTTACTAATTAAGACAGTTATATATTCTACAGTTTTTCAGTCACATGTACATTGCGCTTAATCAATGTAATAACAAAGTGAAATAATAATAATAATAATAATAATAATAATAATAATAATAATAATAATATTACTTCATTACTGTTGCTGATATTTGACATTTTGAAATCTTACACTAAATGATCTTTTCAATAGCTAAAGACTTTTCATTGATAATTTATCCTTTTTCTCTATAACTAATTTCACGAATCAGCATTCCATGTTACTAATTAACAAAGTTATATATTCTACAGTTTTACAGTAACATGTATATTGTTACTAATTAATGTACTAACCAATTGAACAAAGATGGGGTGGGGGGTATTAATAATAACAATAGTACTAATAATTATAGTAATAATAAACATACTAATAATGGTCATAAAATAATCTTATATTAATAATAGGTGAAGAAGAAGAAGAAACATCATCACAATAACAAGTATAGTAAGAAAGACATTAAAAAAAAAATTTAACTGCCTTTCATTTATGAGCTCATGATAAGTTAATACAACGTTGATATAAGTTTATTAATAAGGGCTTAAGTTAAACAATATTTTCAAGAGAAAGAGACTTATGCCGTCGCTCAGTAGTGTGTGTGTGTGTGTGTGTATATATATATATATAAGACTTTTCAGTTACATTATTTACATAGAAAGAAATTCAAGCTGATGATTAATTTATCAAAGGAATATGTCAAATCGTGATGCTAGTTTTGTAAGGAATTTTGAAGAAATAAAACACTATTTACAATTTAATACTCCGTCACATAGAAAGTTCCTTGGACAGGTAAACTAACTCTTTTAACTGTTTTAAGGTGATCCGTCAACAAATCTTTTAGTGTCAACTAAAATAAGGGTTTCTCATGTATGACACTGTGAAATCTTGCACGAAATGATCTTTTCAATAGCTAAAGAGTTATCATTGCTTAATTATCCATTGTGTTTATAACTAATTACATAAATCAGCTTATCTGTTACTAATTAACAAAGTTATATATTCTACAGTTTTTCAGTCACATATACATTGTTACTAATAACTGTACCAACAAAATGAACTAAGATGGTTTGGGGGGGTGGTTGTATTATTAATAATAGTAATAATAATAATAATAATAATAATAATAAAAATAATAATAATAATAATAATAATAATAATAATAATAATAATAAGATATGTATAAGATATGATATGTCGCATATCAATAAGGACTATATACAATATAACACTTTTTAGTTGACTTTTTTTTATACATGGTATGAAATGCAGGTCACTGATTATTTTTGTAAAGGAAATTATGAAAACGTGATCCTAGTCTAGTAAGGATTTGTGAATAAATAATAACTTACTATAATTTAATACCCCGTAACATAGAAAGTTGCTTTGACAAGTAAGCTGACTCTTTTAACTCTTTGAAGGTGATCCGTCAACAAAATTTATAATGTTTAAGTCATTATTGTTGTTCATGTATGACACTATGAAATCTTACACTAAATGCTCTTTTTTATAGCTAAAGAATTATCATTGCTAAATTATCCATTGTGTTTATACCCGATTTCATGAATCAGAATTATCTGTTACTAATTAAGAAAGTTATATTCTACGGTTTTTATGTAACATATATAAGGTTACTATCTAATGTACTAACCAAATGAAAAAATATGGGGTGTGGGGGGTAGTAATAGTAATAATAATAATAATAATAATAATAATAACAACAGTTTACTTCATTATTTTGCTCATGTATCTTAATTCCCACGCTAAATGATTATTTCAATTGCTAAAAAATCTTCGGTTCTAAATTATCAAAATTCTAAACTTGATAGGGCGGCCTTTTTTCCTCAAACCAGAATTTAGTTTAAAATATTACAATATTCATTGTAACATTCCCTCAAAAATATATAATCGGTTACTAATTATTATACTAACCTAACTACAAAGTATGGGTGTATGTAGGAGTTCGTAGTAGTAGTAGTAGTAGTAGTAGTAGTAGTAGTAGTAATAATAATAATAATAATAATAATAATAACAATAATAATAATAATAATAATAATAATAATAATAATAATAATAATAATAATAATAACAAAAAGCAAGAGTTTATGACCTGCCTTTGGTTTATGACCTCATACAAAAATTAAAACTGACTTTGATATAAGTCGTTTAATAAGGGCTCAAGTTAAACACTATTTCCAAGTGAAAGAGATTATAGTATTGATAACCTCTTTACCGCCTTTTAGTATTTTATATAAGATACGTCGCATATCAATAACGACTATTTACAAATGAAGACTTTTCAGTTAAATATTTTATATAGAATGAAATACAAGCCAATGATTATTTTTCAGGGGACCTTATCAAATCGTGATGCTAGATTGTTAAGGATTTGAGAAGAAACAATACATTTATTACAATTTTATATTCCGTAACAAATTGATAACATTTACTTCACACTAAATAATCATTAAAATTGCTAAAAAAAATCATTGCTTAATTACACAAGATCACTATAAATGTAACAAAAAAATATAATAAAAGGAAGAAACATTGCTTTAAAACAATCACGTTAATCGGAATCGATATGTGCTTACCAAATATACTTCCCTATGTTACTAAGATTTATAGTATGTTTTGTTTGCGTCGTTTTCAGACTTGTGCGTACCAAGTATAGTTTCTTGAGTTACTAAAAAAATTTCTAATAACATTGTTCGAGTATTTTGGGGGTTTTCCGCCATTGTCGACGAACTAACACCATTCTCAACCATTGATGTTGTCGACCTTCAAATCTCCTAATTACTTATTAATCAATTTGGCCCTCGGTTACTTGTGTGCCTATAACAAATATCGTATTCCAACAAAATATCCAATTTATTTGAAATCGATAGGAAGAGTATACCCATTTCACTACTTCAATTGAAAATTGGTATATTCTGCAAACATACTCATTTACAAATAGGAGACGATTAATGGAGGAAGAATAAGTCAATTAAACTGCAAAATATTTAACACAATAGATTCTGCAAATAATATATAAACGTTTACATAATTAACTAGAATATATCCAATTTGAAAACCCCCAAATCGAAAATTTCAGAAACCTAATTAACTCGAAATTTCTCAATATTCTCAGGTAAACAACGATTATTTTGTTCAATTAAACAAAATAATCTTTGCGGATGATGTAAATTTAAGCTTCTGCATGTATACTGAAGCAACTTCAAGGTTTTTTTGTTCATCTTCCATCGTCGCCCATATCGTCCTCTCTCTATGCGATGTTCATCGATGTTGCAGAAATGAATTTTTTTTTAATTTTTTTTTTAAAAAATAATAAATTAATTGCATGGGAAATGACAATTAATTTGAATTTCAAACCTTTGAATTTTCATTCAAATTTGAATGAAATCTGAAAAGAAGTGGAACTTGGGCCCCAAACAAACACCCAATCAAAGGCTGCCATGTCACAATGTATGTGGTTCCCACATACAATGAATGTATGTGTAGCTTTTTCGCTACTTAATCACTTTTTGTTATTACATCGAAAAAGAAAAGAAAAAAAAAGACAGGAAAAAGAAAAGCAAAAATATAGGAAAATTAATGTAAAATTAACAAAAGAAAAGAAAAAAAAAACAACAACAACAAATAGGGGCAAACCTACAGATTCCAATGAAGCATATAAAACATTTTTATCAACAAACTGAAGAATAATCGAAAGTGAAAATTAGATTTGCTTTTGGGACGATAAAGTGATTTTGGGTTAGTGGGTGGGTTGGCTTTTAGAGTGATTTTTGGGTTGGTCAAGGTTGTGGGGTGGCGTCGATAAGGATTCAAGTGGTTTAAAGATGGTTCTAGTGAGTGTTTTGGAGGTAGTTGATGGTGGGATTCATTGCGTTAGTAAGTGGTGATGGTGGTAAGACAATGGTGTATTGATGATGTGTATATATGGGTCAGGCATTGAAGAAAGGGAATTGAAATACCTGGGGTGGGGTGGAGATTTTAGAAGTTTGAAAGGTTCAAAGGGAATGATTATTAACATCAATAAAGGAAATAAGACATACTATTTCCCTTTCCCTTTTCAAATTACCCTATACCAAATGTCCCCTTAATGTAAAAGGAAAAAAGAGATGGGGTTCACAAACCTAGTGTGAGTCCCTTGTGGCTTCTTTAATTTATATATGATTCTTAAATAGAGTAAGTAAAGGTAAATAAAGTGTCAAATGAAATTTTTTTTAAAGAAGAGATTTTTTTTTTTTTACAAAGGGAACACACAAAAAACAACTAAAAAAACAAAGGAAAGAAGATCTCTACAACGAGTCGCTCCAGCTAGGGAATGAGCCTCCCTAATAGAAGACCTCGGAACCTTCCGAATGAGACAGGTAGTAAAATCTGACAAGGTGTTCCGAATCTCCTGAATAGTCCAAATTACTGCTATGTCCTCCACTTCCTGGCACAAAATTAACGTAGGAATAATAGAGCAGTCGGCAAGAAGTAAAAGACGAGTAAAACCCCGCAATCGAGCTTGTTGAAGACCAAACAAACAGGCAAGCAGTTCAGAATGAAGAGCCGACCCAGCAACACAAGCCTTGGCACCACCAACCATCGGTTGCGACGAATCAGAAACACAAAAACACCAGCCAGTACCAGCATTGTTAGTCTTCCTATCCCAAGCTCCATCAAAAAGCATAGAAACCTCACAAATGTCATCCAGAGCACCACAAAGAGCATAAGTAGTAGAAGGAGACGGAAAACCCGGTGGCCTACCCGTCGAATCAGAATTGAGGTTACGAGCATTCTGACTTCTGAGGCTCCAATCTAAGGCCAAAGCCAAGACGGAATTGGGCGAATAAACTGCGGATCGGAATCTAACATTATTTCTTGTTAACCAAATTGCCCAGCAGACCCCAAAGAAATAGTCCAAAATGGCCCAAAACCTAGCCGAACTAAGCCCAGAGACAATACCCATAAACCAGTCTAGGAAAGGTAACAGGGAATCAGGTTTAGGAAAAGAACCCCAGTCTATAGAATACCATAAAGACCCAATAAAGGGGCAATCATGAAACAAATGATCCCTTGATTCCACATAATTGTGACAGAAAACACAAGTTAAATTTACAGGAATACCTTTTTGGGAGAGTACCTCCATGGAAGGAAGAGCGTCATGAACAATCTTCCAAGCTAACATCTTCCACTTAGGAAGGAGGGGTAAGCCCCACAGGCGTTTCCACCAGGTAGGAGGAAGCAAGGAAACTGGGGTTTTAAAGTGTTGAGATAAGATATGTAAATAGGCTGATTTTGTAGAGAACTTACCATCCCGGGTATATTTCTAGTAAACAAAATCATCAACCGCTTTCAAAGGACGTTCTAAACTTAAAATAGCTGTAGCCACATGTTGAGGGAAAAGAGATCGAACCTTAGATGGATTCCAGGAAAGGGAGGTAGGAGCTAAAAGATCCGAAACATAAAAAGGCCTATCGTGAACAAGAATCAACCCCTTAAACTCCACCTTAACATTGGGAAGCCAACAATCATTCAAAATACTTATATTTTGTCCTGAACCAATCTTCCAAGCAACACCTGCTGAAATAGCTAAGTTCCCCTCCATAATTCCTCGACTACCCCAAGAAGGTCGGGCGCCAGAAATATATGACTTGTGCTGAAGAAGATTCGGATATTTAGCAGAATGAACCCGAGAAGCCAAGAGTTGAGGATTATGTCTCAACCTCCAAGCATGCTTAGCAAGCAGGGCAACATTAAAGGATTGAAGGTGACGGATTCCAAGACCACCTAAACCTTTCGGGAGAAACACAGAAGCAGCAGGAGCCAAAGCAAGTCCCTTAGAAGCTTCCCCAGACTTCCACCAAAACCGTAAAAGAAGAGAATTCACCCTATCACAGATTGTCGAAGGTATCTTGAACACTGAAAGAACATGGTTAAAAGAGGCAATGAAAACCGAGTTAATAACAACCAACTTAGCAGAAGGCGATAACCTAAGAGAGGAAAAGCCTGAAAGTCGTTGAACCATCTTATCAATCATAAATTGAAACTCTTTGCATTTGTACGACCCATATCCACAAAGAGACCTAAATAAGCACTAATGGAAGAACAGGCCTTCATCTTAAGACTGGTTGCAAGGTAATCTCGATAATCATCCGGAGTTTTAGAGCTGAATCTAACAAAGGATTTCTGGAGGTTAACCATTTGACCAGAATTTGAACAGAACTCATTTATCACCGAAAGCAAATTATCACATGCCTCAGGAGAAACTTGAAAGAAAAGCAGTGCATCATCTGCAAAAAAAAAGATGTGAAACAGAAGGATCCCGACGAGAAACACAAATACCACGAAATAAACCTCGTCGTTCATCACGCCGCAACATTAAAGAAAAAACTTCCATACATAAAACAAAAAGGTAGGGAGAAAGAGGGTCCCCTTGCCTTAGTCCACATTTAGGAATAAAAGGTCGCGAAGGAGATCCATTAATCAAAAGTTGGTACGATACCGTAGTAACACACTGTTGCAAAATATGGACCCAGTAAGGAGGGAAACCAAACCTGCGGAGAACCTCCCAAGGGAAATCCCAGTCGACTCTGTCGTAAGCCTTATTCATATCAAGTTTTAAGGCCACAAAACACGTCTTAGATGGTGAAGAAGTCAGGTATGAAAGTAATTCATGGGCTAGTAAACCATTGTCTGCCATTAAACGGCCTGGCACGAAAGCATTTTGAGAATCAGAGATCAGAGATGGTAAAACCTTCCAAAGTCGGTGAGTAAAACATTTGACAATGCACTTGTACACCACATTACATAATCAAATCGGACGAAATTGGGAAGCCAACTCAGGGTGATCCACCTTTGGGAGAAGAACCAAGAAGGTACGATTCCATTCTTTTAGCAGATAGCCATGAACAAAGAAGAACTAAACTGCCTCAATAACTTGGTGTAGGCGTCGCTCGATGTGTGCCTACGTTAAAGCATGTGTGAATATGCTTGGCAATCATAGGAAGTGGGAATTGACATTACGATTAGGGACAAAGCAAAGTAGGGAGCCTCCAACAAGTTTTTAAGGAACTTGTAAACCGTTCACGGATCATAAAAAGGCAACCACGATAAGGGACAACGATAGGCAACAACGATTGACACGTGAAGGTTACACTCCATTCATAATCTATGATATTACTAACTCCATATAGTTAGAAACCACAAAAGGAGGATCGGGGATGATGGTACGAAGTGAGTCATGGAGTCACATTCGCCCGTATTGGCCTCTACTCGATTCTTATAGTGAAAAATGATTCCTGCGATCTCAAAGGCATACAAACAAAAATTCAATTTGCTCCAAACTATTATTAAGCTAAATTGGTTGAATATTAATGCAACACATAATTGTAAAATATTTGTGATCACTTGAATTAAGCAACAAGATTAAAAAGGAACCTAAACCAGTTGTCCAAATTATCTTATTAGGCGTGATTTTCAATTACATATTCCCTTTAAACATGCAATATGGTGATAATTAAAAATAATAGAATAACATCAATATTGGAAACAATTTAACAATAATTCCAACAATACAAAATCGTTAGAAAAATAATAAAAATAAAAGGAACATAATTCTTACTTTGATTCTGTTTGCTTGCAACTACAAAATAATAAACGAGTTAGTAACTTCAAGGAAATAATAATAGAACAATAATTAAATTAAGTAGAGTTGATTTAGGGCCAAACCCTTAAACAGTTCTACCCTTCACGCCTTGGCTTAAGGACAGAACCACGAGTAAAGTATGGACTCCTAGGAGTGCTTGAAGAAGGAATTTTGAAAGAATAAGGGTAGGCTAGTGTTTAGGCTAGAGCATAGAAGAAAGAAAAAACTCGAGAATTAATTGATGCCCCGTACATCAGAAATGAGGGGGTATTTATAGAAAAAATGTGCTGAGGGAACACATGGAACCCTAAAATGATAAAAACCCTAATAAAGTATCCCGCGACACGGCAAAGTGTACCGTGACATTCCCGTGAAACGGTGCACATTTTTCGTGACGCGGGAAATATTTAGTAAACGGGGGAGAAAACGCGTTAAGGGTTTACGCGGAAAGGACACGGAAATTCCCGTGTCACGGGAAATCCCACCGTCAGACGGGAGAGTTTCCCGTGACACGGTGGACAGCTGCCGTGGCGCGAGAATTTCCAGTCCGCTTTTCCGTCTAAATTCATTTTTAACCCTAATTTCGTTCAGCATTTTAAGTGCCGATTGATAATTTCGGGCTATTTTCTGATTTTATTATTATTTGGGCTAAAATAAATAAAATAAATAAAAAGTTTGGGCCAAAATAATAAAACAATAAAAAAAAAGGTTTGGGCTTAAATTAAATAATAAGTGTGGGCTGAAATTAAAACTGTACTTTGACCAAACATCAAGACTGATCCATGGACTATTCCAAAATTGAATTTAATTAAATATGATATTTTAAGCACTCTCGAGATTAAATACTGAACCCGGACAATAGTGGCGGTGAAAGGTGGGTTTGGTTTTGGGGAGACATTTTTAGGTGTCTACAGAAGCCCCCACTTTGACTGAGTTTGTAGAAACGTCAGTTTCGAAAACGATAGTTAAAGTAGCCGATAGGGACGGAGAATGATTTAAGACGTTTTGCGATCCTAAATCACTCTGTATACGCCAATACCTGCAGAAAAATGTTAATTCTACAAATAAAAGAGTAAAAGGATAGAATACGTATCTGGCATCAGTGTGTCGGTGAAAAATGAGTTTGGCATCTTCCCATGCTTGAAGGAATCCACCGGATAATGTTCATTGAAACGCTTTTCATACCTGAGGAAAGCCTGAAGAAACCTACCGGATGATACTTTCCATGCCTGATAATGTTCATTGAAATGATGGTGGTTCGATTGTCCCTAAACGTAGGTTGTAGTTGGTTCACTTGTACCCGAACGTGGGATGTAGATGGTCCGCTTGTCCCCGGACGTGGGTTGTAAATGGTCCGCTTGTCCCCGGACGTGGGCAGTAGATGGTCCGCTTGTCCCCGGACGTGGGCTGGTTGTAAATGGTCCGCTTGTCCCCGGATGTGGGCTGTAGATGGTTCGCTTGTCCCCGGACGTGGGTTATAAATGGTCCGCTTGTCCCCGGACGTGGGCTGGTTGTAAATGGTCCGCTTGTCCCCGGACGTGGGCTGTAGATGGTCCGCTTGTCCCCGGACGTGGGCTTTAGATGGTCCGCTTGTCCCCGGACGTGGGCTGGTTGTAAATGGTCTGCTTGTCCCCGGACATGGGCTGTAAATGGTCCGCTTTTCCCCGGACGTGGGCTGTAGATGGTCCGCTTGTCCCCGGACGTGGGCTGAAATTGAGACCTGCAAAATAAAATTTGCCAAGGGACTCGTATAGACCATGATTGACTTGACCAACTGACTTGACCAAGTTTGACTTGACACGACATGACATGACATGACATGACATGACATGACATGACATGAGTATGACTTGTGATTGTGTGTGTATAGTTTGAGTGTGTGTGTGTGCAGACACAAGCAACCAAAAATGCAAAAGCAAAAATTTTGCATCATTTTTGTCATGAGACGAGTGGAAGGTACTGACTTTCTCCCGAAAAAGAAAGACGTGAAAAATGAAGTTTTATTTTTGAACTTTTCTCGATAAAAATTTTGAAATTTTTTTTTAACTTCCCCAAAATAAAATAATGAAAAAGGGAAGAAGTTTTGAACTTCCTCCTTGAGCAAGACGAAATGAATCGTTTGGATTGAATTGCTTGTCCTGAAAATAATGTATGCATGATGCATGTTCTTAGGCCAGGAGACTAAGGACAATTACATCATGTGATTTCTCGATAAAAATTTTGAAATTTTTTTTTTTAACTTCCCCAAAATAAAATAATGAAAAAGGGAAGAAGTTTTGAACTTCCTCCTTGAGCAAGACGAAATGAATCATTTGGATTGAATTGCTTGTCCTGAAAATAATGTATGCATGATGCATGTTCTTAGGCCAGGAGGCTAAGGACAATTACATCATGTGACACATAGATGAAAGAACTTAAGTCATGGAGCTAAGCATCATATATGGTGTAAAGAAGCGATCTTAAACGTCACTTAGGTCTGGAAGCTAAGCACGTATATAGATGAAGTGATTATGAACGTTGCTTTGGTCAAGGAGCTAAGA